TGTAGCTTTGCGCGAAATTCAAAAACAAACAAACAAACAATCAAACACACTATTTTTGGGTTTTTAGCATTACTTTGAAACTTTTTAAACATATTTTTGGGAAGAATGAATGTAATGTAGAAGTTTTGTTTTTTCATTAAATAGTCATAAAATTCAGCTCATAAACTGTGTAAAGAGTGTTTTGATGATGAGCACTGCCATAACATTCAGGCCTGGGTTTCTCACCACACAAGAGAGAACTTTCGAGACAGTTTGGTGGCATTAGAGTACATGTTACAACAATGAGCAGGTCAAGTAGGTCTATTACATTTATGGTTCATTGTGACAAACTGGACATTTTGTGCATCCCAAGATCTTTTCTTGGGACAATACCAAAATACAGGACTGTCCCAGCAAAACTGGAATGTCTAGTCACCCTATTCAATTTTATATAAATTTCTGCTTGGTTTTCTATTTATTTTCTGTCTCTTTTTCTTGTCCTTTAAAGGCTCTGTTTCTTTCTGTTTTTTACTTCCATTTTTTTATCTATCTAGCAGTTTCTGCTTTTGTAATCATCTGAATGAAAGTTGAAGATTAGTCAAAATTCTGTTGCATTTTCACCAAAAATAATGTTCCATTCAAACACCAGTGTTGTAGCATAGTTCTGTCATTGGTGGGTTCTTTTAAATTATCTGGGAAAATACTTCAGTCCAGTAGCAGTCACAACTTATTTTTTTCCATCTGTAACATTATTACAATCTAGAACGCTTTTATAACTTGTAAGCCTAAGTTTACAACCACACTAACTTTACTACATAAACAGAAATTAACTTACTTTTACAGTGTAGCAAACACTTACAACAACTCTATATTCTGAAATAACTCTCGAAACTTCACTGAACATTTTGATAACTTAGTTTTATTAGAGGGAGCTCAAGGACTAATGTGAACTTGAACATAAATTATCAAAACCTACAGCTCTCTCTCTAGCTAAAAGCATCTTAAAATATTAAAGACATAGCTTACAATAGCATTGTTACGCCTCTGTGTTCATTTGTTAATTTTCCGTAAAAATTCTTTCCGAAGAAACTTTAGCGATACAAGTCCTTTCTTAAATAAAACTAGTTTATTCTTTCTCAATAGAACTTTGCAATACACTTAATTTCCACAATCACACTATAACTCAAACAAACGCTATAATTCACAACGAACAATTCACGCGCTTGACTCAATTGTCCGTCTCTATCTCAGCAATTCAATTCCGATTGTTACCGTCACTTCTTGGCAGTCTTATATACAAGAATACCGCACATCTAGTAAACAAACGAGGCTTCATGAACGGACAT